CAAACCCGGATAGTTGCACGGCCACAAGCACACACATGCACACATGCACACATGCACGCATGCACACATGCAAGCATGCACATACACCCACACACATCCAAAAAAGGAACAAAAAGCACAGCTGTGCCTGGCAGAGGTTAAAACAATCTGCAGCAGGAGCCTCACGTTGAAGCGGAGAGACCTAACACATCAGCTTTTTCAAATTGCGTTTATCATCCTCGCACTGGAATCATTATGCCAATCTTGTCCATAATGAAGAGTTATGGTACTTACTCATACCAAATACAGGGACTGAGTATCTCAGATCCTCTGCAAGATGTTAATATGTTCCCTCACCTGTTCAGCAGCACAGGGTTCATAATCCAACAGCATGGCCGCCAATCTGGGCCGTCCATTCTTGTGAGCCTTCTTTGCGATTGCTGCGTATGATACGGATGGTGATCTCTTCAGCTGGTAAACAACAATGACAGCAACAATCCTTCCAGCACTTAGCTGACCACACATAGCTCACAATCCTGCCATCCTCTGTGTGTGTGTGTGTGTGTGTGTGTGTGTGTGTGTGTGTGTGTGTGTGTGTGTGTGTGTGTGTGTGCCATCCTCATAGCAACAACGACAGCGAGAAGTAAACAAACGAGAGAGAGAGAGAGAGAGAGAGAGAGAGAGAGAGAGAGAGAGAGAGAGAGAGAGAGACAGAGAGACAGAGAGACAGAGAGACAGAGACAGACAGAGACAGACAGAGACAGACAGGGAGGGGTGACAAAAGAGTCATGAGAAGTGAGGTGAAATATGGGGAAAGAGGAAACAGGCACTCACTATAATGCGGTACGAAAAATAAGAAAGATGTTGAGATAAGAACAGGTGGACAAGAAGCAGAGCAATGAATATTGACAGGAGATGTTGCTGGAGACATTTCAACAGCGAGAAGTAAACAAACGAGTGATTGGACAGGGAAATGCAGGAGAACAGCACAAGGGCTCAAGGAACGAGCTAAGGATGCACAGACAGTTCTTGGCACACAGACCTTAAAGCCCCAACTCATTCTATTATATGACATGCAATCGCTTCTATGATTTCTTTGGAGCCTTTGGTCACGAGAAGCCGTGACCAATCTTTTTTTTTGTGTTCTGGTTCATTTCCTTTTGCATTCATGAGCATCAGCATTCACTGCTTCCATAGATGATTGTCTTCCTCAAGATTTGAACGAGCTTGCTTTGCGATGTTCGGATGCAATGAAGCTTCTCTACTAAAAGAGCTCACTGCACTTGACGTAACCCGCCTAAGTAGTGAACATAGTTTGAAACAGCCCTATGTTCACGTGTTTATTAAACTTTATTTGTCTCTATCCTTCTCTTTTTTGTTTAGGTAAGTTCTGAGCTCAAAGTCAACGAGCTGAAAGTCAACGAGCTAAAAGTCAACGAGCTGACTATTGAACAGACATACTCCTGTATGGAAACAATTTCAAATAAACGTACCTTGGATCCCTCGTATGGGTGCAGGCAGCATCGCAACTTGAAAAAGACGAAAGAAAAGAGGGTTGTCACTCTCACCTTTTCTACCAGGAGCTCCAAAACTGTCTTGTCAGGTGCACCTGACATAGCTGCTATCTTTGCACAAGCCCAGTGCACAAGTACAGGATCCTGCAATATCCGCAACAGCAAAAAAACAGAAACAAAAAGAATCTAACACTACTGAGTCGAACATAGGTTGACCACAGGTTAGCATTGAAACTACAATTCATCATATACCAAGACTAGGGCTAAGAAATGAGGTTTTAAGTCTTTTGACTGATTGACATACTGACAAAAAACAGTCATGACGGCTCGACTGTCTCACTGCATTAGAAGAAGCAGGAATTAAACCAACAACCTCCTCCGCCACAAAGTGGTGTGGCAAGTAACTCCTGCAAAATTTCTATCCATTGGCATCAGCAACTTACAGCAGAAAACAAGGCACAACTGCATGGCTTGTTCTCTCTCTCTCTCTCTCTCTCTCTCTCTCTCTCTCTCTCTCTCTCTCTCTCTCTCTCTCTCTCTCTCTCTCTCTCTCTCTCTCTCTCTCTCTCCAGCAAAGCGCTGCAGGACGCTTGCCCAACTTGGATGCGGACATAGATGAGCGGTGCGTTGTTGTCATCGTACCGCTGCGTGCGAAACTCGCGGGCCACCTTGGTAACATACACCAAGATGTCCCCCACCGCAACTCCGTCATCCGTCGGCGAAGTTGGTGGTGCATAGAAGGATAAGTACGTGTGAAGATGAGCGTGTGTCTGTGTTGTCATGTTGGATATACACAACTCCACCAAATAAGCATTGACTATGCCAGACGGTTTCGTCGGGCTTTCATCGACTCATCAGGAGGTTGAACCTCGACAGTCTACCCAGGATGCATCTGACTGAATGCATTAGGACTCACCTCGTCGCCCACAGTTGGTCAAACTCCTGAGAAGAATTACCAACTTCATTCACACCAACCCTACTTTCACCAGCTCTCTCTGGCGAGTGGCCTCTACCATCATGTATGCTACTGTAACATACTGTAATGTACTGTAATGTACTGTAATGTACTGTAACATGAACTTGGCCAGGACCAGCATTGGAAGGTCGCTGACCTTGATCTCCACTCTTCAGATTCTGCATCACAGAATCAATTCTGCTGACCATTGCATCTGTAAAAGATCAGTGTTGACTGATATCATAGTACAGAATGTGAATTGACTCTGTTTTTTGTTCGGACTCTTCATGTATAGTCTCTGAGGATCCTACACAGACATATGTTAGTTTCGTGCGGATTATCCATTGTATATTGAAATTCATTCGATAAATAGGTTAGGACTTTACCGCATATAGCGAAGTAATAAGGTCAGAGATTACTCGTGTGACACGGCAAGCAGACCGTTGGTCCAAACCTGTGTGCTGTGTGTGTGTGTTGCCACGTTCGCTAAACACAACTCCATTCTCTCCCCCTACACGGTCTGTGCTTGATGCTCCCTGCACCTTGCCTGGATGTTCTATCGCCACCTCACTCAACGCTTCCCCCTTCCCCCAGCCTCCTTCGTCAACCCCCTCCCTTTCACTCCCTCCTTCGTCAACCCCCTTCCTTCTCTCCCTTGTATGCGAAGCATGTTGCAACCCCCTTGATGCTCCCTCTCCTCACCTCCCCTTCCTCCCAATGAGTGCTACAAACCTCTTGTACACTCTCACTCTCCCCTGCTTGCATGCAAAGCGTTTTGTAACCCCACCTCGGACAATGTTCAAGCCTACAGGAGATACAGGCCAGTGTGCAGAGGAGGCAAAGGCACAGGAAAAGTCATTCCTGCCTTCCTGTTACACCGTGATCACAACAGGAAAAGTCATTCCTGCCTTCCTGTTACACCGTGATCACCACAGGAAAAGTCATTCCTGCCTTCCTGCAGGGGAATCTGTTCCCCAATTGTCACTACTTTTTATTTTTTTAATTAGGATAGCAGTTGCTGTGACCCAACCGTGTTGCAGGGGATGCAGTTTCCCAATTGTTTTAACTTTTTGCAACGACACGGTGCACATACCAAAGGAAAGGAAAGGAAAATTCATCCTGATGTGCATGCATACGGGGGAACAACCACAAACACCTGCCACAACAATTGGGCTCACCACCAAACACTGCAACCGTTCAATGCCTGTGCGTCCATGGGTCATGAATCCAATCAACAAGCAACCTTTGCCGACCAGGTAGAGAGACATTCACAGCCACACTTGGCCATCGATCATGTGGCGCATGCCCGGAAGTGTAAGTCCCAGCCACAGCAGTCGATCTCGCCATCGACAGAAAACATTATTTTCGCTCACCGGACAAGCCTGGTAGAGAGCACGTCACCACTCTCACGACACCTTTTATGCACGAAGTTCAACTTTTAGACCCCTTCATCAAGAACTTTTTTGGTTCCTTGTGGCAGATTGTTTATTTTTAGGCTGGATTAGATGTCAGCCTGTAGAAGCATATTAAAAAAAAAAAAAAAAAAAAAAGGATAAAAAACTTATTAGAAAGTTATTAAAAACTTGTTGAAGCATCCTACATTCAGTGGTCAAAATGGTTCCAGCAGCTGGTAGGTGCTATTCTTCAATCTCCACCTTCGTACAGGGGAGGAAGTGTGTGTTTTCCACCTTCGTACAGGGGAGGTAGTGTGTTCTCCACCTTCGTACAGAGGAGGTAGTGTGTGTTTTCCACCTTCGTACAGGGGGGGTAGTGTGTGTTTTCCACCTTCGTACAGGGGAGGTAGTGTGTTCATGACTCATGAATCTCATCGATACGCAAGCTTACCCATTGTGTACTACAACAGTCACAGCCATAGATGCCCATCGGCCATGTGTGTGCATCCCCAGGACCACAAATCCCTGCTCCAACAGTTTTACTTCTTGCAAATACACAAGCATCCCAAGATCAACCCGCTAGGAATCGAACCTAAGACTTTCCGCCAAAGAGGCAGAACACTTTAACCAATCGGAAAAGTGAGCTAGGATGAGATCACAGCCCCTTGAGTGACATTTCACCCAACCCCAGCATGGAACGTGATACTACATGTACATCCATGACCTGGTGGTGTACCCAGACTCAACTCCACCCAGGCCTTTCGGCCACCTGTCAGAGCTCAACCAAGCCAACTGCAGTTTCACTCACTACCAAATGCTGCAACTCTTCCATCTCTGCCTTTGCACAGGGGAGATAGTGTCCATGAATCCAATCAACATGTAATCAACCGTTGCCATCATGGTGGGCCATCAATCACTCCATGGACCCATCAGCCGCATGTCACGGGTGTCGTGTTCTTCGACTAAGGAAGCAACAGATATCTCGAGCACACCGTACTCCAGAAAGAATAGTAGGCCGTTCTTTTTCTTATTGGAACTTGTCGAAGATAGTTTCTCATCTTTTGAGTTCATTTGTGTGAGGCTGATTATCTTGAGCTGAACTCGGATATTTGCATTTTTTTTCGAGTTCGGTTTCGCGTGTTACGAGTGTGTGATTATTAGAGACAAGCATAGTGTCTGTGTGTACATTGCTTCATGCTGTATGCGAATCGTAGTTAGATAACTACACTCAGTGGATGCATGAGGTGCACGAGCTCGTCTGCAACATAAGGAATGAAAATTTGTGTGTTTGCATAATAGATGAGATGACAAGTGGAACGAACTGTTTAATCGAATGTGTGCCAGATGGGAACTAATGTGAGATTTCTGTAAGAGATGCTTTTGACAATCTAGACCGAAGACGAGGACAAGGCGAACACGGAAAGGGGTGGTAGGGTGTGGCTGAAGGGGTGACTGCAAGGTTATCACACAGAAAGCACACGGGAAGCACATGGAAAGCACACAGAAAGCACACGGAAAGCACACGGAAAGCACAAGGAATGAACCGAGGGGCGGCTGACGGTCGGTCACCTGTGTGTATGTACACACATACTTGCTCATCTAAGCCTTGTCAAAAACAGAGAAAGCCCACCACTGACGATGCTGAAGCTCAGGATGAATCCCAGAGGGAACGGGGAAGAAGGGTTGAGAATTAAAGAGTCTGGCAATTCTACCTGGTCGAGACCAAGATATTGAGATATGCGCAGAGCCAAAAGGTGCTGATGCCGATTAATCAGTCGCGCTACAAGCACCGGACATGTCAGCTCCTGATTTCACACCACAGGCCACAATCAGATACATGAACACGCCACCAATCAACCATTTATGTGAAGCTTCAGTGGCTTACACCCATTCCATCCTCTTCCCCCATCATATCATACTTTTTTCCAACCACCCCATTGCACTCTTGGAACCGTTTGTTCCAATTTAGCTTGCTTCCTCTAAATACCCCACAAACAAACAAACAAAACAAACCTGTGACCCGAATCGCACGGAATGAAGAATACTGCCAGACTGACTGAACACCATTACTGCATCCCGGAATGCGTCCTATTGGACGTACGTACCCTATGCTTCCATTCTCCTCTCTCTCACCTCCCCACTCTTCTTCACAATCTCCTCTCCTCTTGTCCTCTTCGCTTCTACCTCCCACCTTCACCACATTCTCCTATTTTTACAACCACCCGCAAATCACCATGCGCTTCTCTGTAACCTTTCCCCCTCGCATCACATTTGTATCTCTTCCATCTCTTACCTGGTCATTGTCCACTCGTCAACCTCTTTTGCACCCCCTCTTCAAGGGAATGCAAGACAAAAGATGTGCCCATCTCTCTCCTCCCTTGATGCTTCTCTCAAGCATTACAGCATTGGGGTTGGGGGTTG